AAAATGTCACTTGCAATCGCCACACATATAAATAGACAGTCTCGCATGTGCACATATACGATTCATTAATTCCGCTTTTCTTGCGATTCCACCAAATATCACTTTGCCACCACTAAAACCATTGTTTGTTTAGTTTTTTCAGTCATTCAGTTGCTGTTCTCGTGTGTCTTTAGGATGAAAGTTTTCAGAATGTTTTGATGTAATGTTGTAAGTTGTAGGTTGATGTGGATTATCGGAGCTACTATGAAGGATGGAATCTGGAGTATTGAGATTCTGTCAGTTCGAGAGTTAAGACTCTGTGGCGCGAGTGGTTAAGCAATAGACCGAATATCTGCAATTCTCTTTTATGAGGATATGGGTTCGATTCTCATCAAAGACCGATCTCTCAATTTTTATAAAGAGTTCTATCGATTTTAGAAGGAATCGCGGGTTTTGTAGATCTAATGTATAACAAGTCGGGTTCGATGGGAATCGAACCCTCGATCTCAAAAGAGGCGATCTCAAACAAGTCGATCAGAGATCTCGGCCACCGAGGTACTTATCTCACTTGAGCTATCTTTCATACACATAAAACCAGTTTCAACGCGAGCCCTATGATCAGCCCTATCTACTACAGATATGCTCTTCGAGCCATATCCACAGGTTTCTCTTGACATTAAACTAGTTTGATGCTTATCGTAATGCAATTTCGCAATTCATAATCACATCGACAATATTTTATGTAATGCTTGAGAAATCGAAATTTAGTGGGAATCGAACCCACTTCTTTACAAAAGAGATTGTTTCAGATTTATGGTCTGTATAAATGCCTCACTTTTGGATGCGATACATGAATAGCTTAACACCGTCTATATTAATCATGAAAATCAAAGCTACAACAAATTTACTTTTTACAAAATCAATCCTTCCAAGTATTTCTTACTCGCATCCCATTGTACAGTTCTGTAAGATTTATGAGATTGAATTAAATAAAGATTATTCGTGATTGAATTCCGATTAACTAAAGAGTCTATTTCAGTTACAATTGAGTTATATGCCATATCACTTTATAAACTTTGTGGATTGCCTTCTTAGAAAATTGTGATTTTATCCTTTTAGATGGATTATGTTCTTTAGGATTCCAATCAAATAAATTGAACAGATTTGATGTTGAATCTGTGTTGTGATGTAAATGTAATTTTTTGCCTGGATGTAGGTTTCATTTTTATGAAAATCAGCAAACCTGACCAAATTATCCCATGGAACTAAGTCTATATTATAAGCATGCATATGGTGTACGCTTTTGAATCCTCAAAACAAATATTTGCTATTTGCAGGCGTACAAATCACTATTATATATCGAAAGCCACAGTCGAGTGTTGTTCTATATTTATTTTGATATTGCTTTATCTACCGCTATAATAATTTTTATTTTTATATTTCACTCAATTTTTCCCCGCCGTTAAATCTTTTTATTTCTTAATACTAGATGTGAATTATATACAAGCACATATGCAGCGATATCAGGAAGGAGGTAGAATCGAATTGAGTAGGAGCAATAACAGTGGAATTTATTGTCGTAATCTATTGAGAAAATAGAAAAAAAAATAAAAATCAATATGAAACAGGAAAGAATGTCGAGACGGAAATTGAAATTTATATATCAAATGCAATTCATGTCAATAATAATAATATAAAAGAAATTTTTGGCTTTTGTTGCTGCGCTAAAGCGACATAATTCTTTTAATATCCGGGTATTTTTATATTTATTGTATTTTTTTTTGAGTACAGGAAATGCAACCAATTTGAATTGAAATTTATTTGCAGTTTGGATTTAGATTTTTGGAGTGTGTTTAGAAAAATTTTGAGGGGGGAAGGAGTTGTTATATTAGGACAAGGCTAGGAGGAGGACTACAGCAGAACTAGAATAGGACTAAGATATGACTAGGACACAGAAGACTAAGATTAAAACTAGACTAGCAGTATAAGACTAGACACTAATTTAAAATGTTATCGACATTGAAAAAAAAATTCAATTAAAATGCCAAAGCCTTAAATCTTCACCAACAGTTAAATTCAGATTTTTTCGGCAATTTTACATTCAATTCTGCTGTTTAAAGGAAAGAATCCAAAGCAACACAGCGAAAAAAAAAATCTCAATGTAGATTCAATTTATTTAATGCAGTGCATGAATTTGCAACGTCGATGTATCATGCGCTTTGTTTAGATAAACAGTTTACGTGAGTTGAAGTTACATGTTACTCACTCATACTGATAATCAATTCCTTCTTCAATGTGCATTTTGTGGATGGAAAATGAAGAAAAATTTAAATAATTTTATTTCTGTCAGGAATGGAGAGAAGAAAAAAAATGGAAAATAAACATTTTGACTCAAGTCACGGAAAATCCGCAGCAGTAAAAGAATTACTGTTGATGAGACACATGAGATAAATGTATGCACGAGTGCATATTGTATGTATTAAGAGAAGCGTAGTTTAATGGTCGAAATAGTCTCGAAGTTCAGCGCCAAAATGTCTCATATTCTTTAAGCTTGCTGTACATCTTTTAAATTGTCTTCTAATTCTTAATTCTCGGTGATTGTGCTGTCAGGACTCAATTTGTCTGTGGGAGCATCTTTAACTACTTGTTTAACTCCAAAGATTTAATTTTCAAGTTGATTTCTTGCTTGAATTCGTTGCTGATGCTTTTCATCTTCGTCGCGATATTTTTCAGCCTCAGAAAGCATTCGATCGATTTCAGCCTTTGAGAGACGTCCTTTATCATTCTTGATTGTAATTGTCTCTTATTAGTAGTTGAACTGTCTTTAGTTGAAACATTCAAGTGCATATATCGAGAAAATTCATTATGGAACACTTCGAATTTTCCACAAGCTTTTGAACAGTTTTCAAAAATTTTATAGCAGATTTTGTGCTACTGTAAATTTTCCTTTAGTTTTTATATGAATTTTCTTTTAACGCTTGTGAAATTTTATTATTTTCGTTTTATGAGTTGACTTCAAAATGAAATAAAATCATTGTCCAGTTCATTAATTAGAATTCTTTAACATTATGGTAGCGTTATCTAAAGTCTAAAAGTAGAGTTATGCTTCTGTTTTGGTTTTTAGAGGACTGCCTTCTGTGAAAAAGGAAATCTGCAACATCACTATATGTTTTTTTTTTATAGCATTATGATATATTTTTTGGCCCTTGAAAACATTTAAAGATATTTTTTTCAAGACATTTAAAAGTAAATGAAAAATTTTTTGTAATCTGATTAAAGCCAATTAATTTTCTTTAAGTTTTTAAAAAAATAAATTCCAAAAAACTTTTGATCAGTTAAAAAACTGAGGAATTGAAAAGATTCCATTTTTTTCTGTTAGATCTTAATTTTTTTTGTATTCGTTTGAGAATCATTCTTATAAGATCTTTAATGATTTATTAAAAATTGGTTTTGTTTTCGTATTGGTGAGTCATATACTTAATATAATATTCTTCTTAGTTGGAAATTTACTAATACGTTAACAAATAAGTTTTATAACCAGTTTTTAAAATATTGTAAAAAAAACTTGATATTGAATCTTGAATTCATTTTGAGTTTGAAAAATGCTAATAAATTTCTTTTGTAACCTCTGAACACTTTGATTAGTTTAATAATATGGAAGTGATGATAAAAAAAAATTATATAATAAAGCAAAATTAAAATGATCTAAAAATAGAGCATTTAAAAATGGTGAGTTTTCATTAAGTGATATTTTTGTAAGGCAAAATTGTGTTAAAAAAATTCAAAAACTTAAACATTTTTTTCTAATTTTAGTTAAACTTTTGTGCAATGGTGATTAAATCCAATCTATCTGCTAATTGATTTCGTCAATAATTTAAATTTTTTTATTATTCTGAATTACAAATTTCTTTAGAAATCTCAAATGAAATGGATTTCGTTTTATATTCGTAATGCTTTCAGATGTGAACATACAAAAACACTTTCAACACAATGTCATACGTTATTCTAGTGATAACAAATAACTGATTAGACTCATTTCTGAGTATATAACATAATCAAACTAATATAAACGCTGCCACTTGTGACATATGACGCGCATTTTCTCGTGTGAATATGTAAAGTAAAAGTCAAATAGGTTAAAAACTTAGAGTGGAGCTACGAATGTAGCTGAATTGGTGACATTTTTCTATAAACTCAATTGATAGTTGTTGAAAATCATAGCAGATAGTATGGATACTCCCTTTTTTACAAACGAATGTTTAAAGTAAGAATTTTCTAAGCATTTATACAATATTGACTAATCTCAAAAAATTCAAACATGTGAAAAAATATTTGGATTCATCAGAACTATTCGAGTAAAATCAGGAGAAAAGTTGTTCATTTTGGAACACAAAAATAATGCAAAACATAAAACAGTGAAAGTGATAAAAATTATGAAAATATGCAAAATAAAAGTTTTGAAAATCAGTAAGTGTACAACAAGTGATTCAACTTCAAACTTGAAAGAAGTCTATAATGAAAAAAAAAAAATGTTGATAAACATTCCCTCGATAAAACGAAAACGTTCAATATGTTAGTAATTTTTTATTTGGTTTTAATATAAAGTATAAAAATTTAAATTTAGAATTCCATGTCACTGCTATTAAAATTTTCTTTAAATAGCACATAATTTAATTTTTTTTAAATTTATGTTGTCTTCCCCCCATCCCCTCCCCCCGCTCCCCCTTCTATATCGTTAACGAACGAACCCTCATTTGCCATGAGAAATTATTTGAAATGGACAAAGAACATTTTTTTCATAGTGTTACAAAAAAGAATATGGCCAAGGCATGTACACTGAGGATTAATCCCGAAATTCCTAGCACTTCCTGATTAAACATTTTGATTGCCGATAGAATTATATTATCCATTATGGTTGGGATTTCTACTAGGATTTAAAATATTTTGTCAATTGGTGAGATTTTTAGGGATTAATCCCCAGTGGACCTTGAATATGGCGGAATATAGTAAATTTTCAAAAGTTAATAATCATGATTGTCTCCAACAACACCGACGTAATCCAATTTAATAACTTCAAATTCAAATGCAACTCTGAACCCTTGCTTAGAAATATTGAAGACACTCTCATCGTCACAAATGATGTCAACTTCAAAATATTGCTGAAACTGGTTCTTTAGTGTTATTTCCCAAGCATAAGCGTTGAATCCAGCATTTTCTGCTTCAATCCTTGCTTTGACAAAAGCAACATTGAAATTTTCCATGCTTTTTGTTGGAATAAATGCAGAAAACTTATACTGCCTGATAGGATTCTGTTTAAGTTCTAATCCTGAAATATTTTCAATTACCCATTCCAATGAAAATTGATTAATGCATTCTACAAGAATAATTCCATTTTTAGACAGAACAGACTCAATAACGGGCAAGCGAGCGTTATGAATCCTTTGCTTTTTGTCATGCAACTCATAACTCAATTTTTGTGCATCATCTTTGCCAAGCATCACGAGTGGATAGTCCAAGCTTGAGAACACAGCTAAAATATTAAAAGAAATAAAAAGTTTCAATTTTTCAAGAATTAAGATTCATTGATTCTACCTTGAAATCCTTCAGATTGGCCATACGTTTTGCCACCAAATACAGCATCAATTACTTCCAACTGAATTTCTTCTGAGCCTAAAGACATCTTGAAGTTTCGCTTCTTAAGCTGATAAAGACTTCGTGTATCAACAGTAATGTGATATTTCTGATGAGTATGAGACTGTCCTTTTCGTGCATAAGCCCAGTTGTTTTGTGCATTGAGATTCAAACTATTATGATCCTTAATTATGCCTGCGATTATACTTTTAGAAAATTCAGGATTGATAACGTTTGGTACCAAAGCAACAACTTTGAATTTTGGCTTATACAATTGTATCAAGCAATCTCGAAAAGGAGATTCTAAGCTTTTTAATTCGTTAGCAGCCCAATCACGAGAATATTCATTTTTGAATGTAGAGACGATTATTCCTGTTTCGGGCCGAACATGCAAGATGTTTGGCAATTGAGGAAACTCCTTGGACAAATCCATGTTCAACTTCTCAAACAAATCCTTTTTAGTGTCCAAATAAATGTGCACATTTGTGGCATCATTGTGATTGAACACCACGAATGGTTTGTCCTTATGATAAATATACAGTTTGTAACTTTGAGGGTTCACCATTTTAATCTAAAAAGTTGGTATTTAAATCATTTTAGATTAGTGTGTTCCTTGCAGTCATTTGTTAATGAAAAATATATACAGTAGCGTGCAGAATATTATGGACGGTCAAAAAAATTTCGTTTTTATTCTCAAAAGCATACTTAACGTTGTCCAATTTAGATGAAATTTTCACCACTTATACTGTTTTTCATGTGCTTTCACATGATAAAATATAAATATGCTATAGTTAATAATTTTTGAAAAAACCGTTAAAATTCAAAATCAGGTGCGTGCAAAATATTATGGACGATTCTTTTTTTGTAATTTTTTTTATGTTTAAGCTATTTAAGCTTACTTTTTAAACTTTAAACATGAAGTTCAAACATTTTACTCCAATTTTATACATTCTTAATGGATGTGTAGCAAGTTTAAGGCATAAAAAAATCATGATGAAAAATTATGCAAATATTTTACTATTTTTGTTACTTTTCATCAATAGCAAGCATTAATATCGGTTATTTTAGACTGTAATGTATTGAATTCTTAACTATCTTTCTATTGATATATAATTTGTCTGTATTAATATAGTCTAAATGAAAAAAATTACGAAAAAAGTTCATTGAAGAGGGAAAAATTTCATCAACAAAAATATAAATTGATTAAAATTTCTTAAATATCCATGAAATATTACCCAATTTAGTCTTATTTTCTCACATTTATGTTGTAGATTAGTAATTGAGCAGTTATAAATTTATATTTTGAGTAATAAAGTCATAAAAAGAGAGCCTTCTGTATGACCAAAAGAAAATTTTAAAGACGAAAAAAATATTTGTCATTAAACTTTTAAATATGCATTTTTCTCTCTTGTTTTTGGCTTAAATAGTTGGCAAAGAGTATTTTGAGTTGTTTTTAATTGATTTACATAAATTTATACTGCATAAAATGTAAAAAATATTATGAAATATTTTTCAAGTTTCAACATGACTTTTTTCATAGTATTGGCTCATAAAAATATATCTTATCGTGCAATATTAAAATGTAATTCTACCTGGGGCCCGTCAAAAATAATAGGAATTTCAGTTTAACGGTTTAATAAAATTCAAAAATTTCTCATATTTTCGAGCAAAATTACCAAAACTTTAATCAGCTGGAAATCTAATTAATACTCGTGAATTTGTAACTTTGACTCTTTTAAAACACAAAAAAGAACCTTAGAAACATACTATCGACATTTAAATATGAGTTCTGTTACGTTTTAATTATGTTTTCAGCAATTTTCGAAAAAATAAAATTTTTTTGTTGACTGAAAACATACAAGAAAATTCAAAAAAATGATATTCGTTACAAGATTTTGAAACTTAAAGTGTTAATTTAAGTAATTTCCAATCATTTTATTGATAAAAATGATAATTTGAATGAACAAATAGAAGGAATAGCACAGTTTTGTACAGAAAAACTAAAATTTAAGCTGGGAATAAAGAAGTTATTAAAGGTTGTTTCCACTCAAAATACCCTTTCCCGAAAATTCTACGTCATCGGTGGATATTCGAATGGCTCTACAGAAGGAACCAGACATGCTAGGAAAATGATAATGGTGTCAAACTCTTCGTCTCGGCGAATTCTATAATACAAATTAAGAACAAAATACAGTTTCATGGAAAAAAATCACAAAAAATGACTAAAAGTGGTCTCCGATGACGTAGAATTCATTTTTGACGGGCCCCACCTAATTACTAATCTACAACATATATGTGAGAAAATAAGACTAAATTGGGTAATATTTCATGGATATTTAAGAAATTTTAATCAATTTATATTTTTGTTGATGAAATTTTTCCCTCTTCAATGAACTTTTTTCGTAATTTTTTTCATTTAGACTATATTAATACAGACAAATTATATATCAATAGAAAGATAGTTAAGAATTCAATACATTACAGTCTAAAATAACCGATATTAATGCTTGCTATTGATGAAAAGTAACAAAAATAGTAAAATATTTGCATAATTTTTCATCATGATTTTTTTATGCCTTAAACTTGCTACACATCCATTAAGAATGTATAAAATTGGAGTAAAATGTTTGAACTTCATGTTTAAAGTTTAAAAAGTAAGCTTAAATAGCTTAAACATAAAAAAAATTACCAAAAAAGAATCGTCCATAATATTTTGCACGCACCTGATTTTGAATTTTAACGGTTTTTTCAAAAATTATTAATTATAGCATATTTATATTTTATCATGTGAAAACACATGAAAAACAGTATAAGTGGTGAAAATTTCATCTAAATTGGACAACGATAAGTATGCTTTTGAAAATAAAAACGAATTTTTTTTGACCGTCCATAATATTTTGCACGCTACTGTAGGTCGAGCAACAAGTAGCTCTAAAACAATTTCACAAAAGCAATCCTTCCCCTATTTTTCAATATATTTTTTTTATAATTATTGAAGACAATCTACAAAGATTGAGTCAATGAATCATCTTGAGAAATGCCCGAAAACGAAGTTCTCTCACAATGAATCTAATAAGATATCCATTGAAAACAGCCCAAGCTGTTCAATTGATGTTAATTTGAAAATAATTTTGGCGCTTTTGAAATTTCTTATTGGAATAGATTAGAATCTTGTTATTGACTATTATCTCGAGAGATGTTATTGTTTGCGCAATTAGAAGGACATTGACTAGTGATATTAAGCGGTTAAAATGATAAAACGTAAAGATTTACCTTAATTTGAAACTTCGTAGCTGCGAATGTTTTGAAGAAGTTGAAGGGTGCGCAAATAAGTGATAATATGTAATTTTGAAATTAAATAAATCGATTTTATGCACTGCTTCTTGCTTTTCTATCAATATGGATCAAAGCCGGTCAAACAATTATTAGTGTTGTTTATTTACCAACAAATTTTACAATACACAAAATTTTAGTACAGAACAGGTTTCCAACGAATTCTAAAATTTCAAAACAAGAACGAAAGAAAAGAAATCGCAATTCACACGCCTTAACATTGAACAAATTTGAATAAAAAAGATCTTTAAAAAAAATATAAAAGTAACTTTGAATTGTCATTTAAGCTTTTTGTTTCAGATTTTTAATATTTTCAGAACTTGATTTATGCCTACAAACTATTTAAATCATCACAATTGATATGATAAAGGATTAATTCCTTCTCATTAGACGATATGATTATTAAAACACGATTGACAATTAATGTAAATAAGATTTTAAAAATAAAACAAGGAACGAACAATTCTTAAACCTAAAAGCACAACTTATTCTTGAATCACATCCTTATTCCTCTTTGTGTAATCAACAGCTGCACGCATAGCAATCAAGAACTCTCTTAACGTTGCCTTACTCTTCTTCAAAAACAAAGCATGAGCTAAGAATGGCAACTTTCTCAAACTACGTCCACTTATGCCTGAAGCTTCTTTACAGACATGGCACATGATATTCGCTGTCGAAAATGGCAGGAAATTCTGAATTTCCAAGAATGTATCAAAATTATTGATTGTATCGATATTAAAGTCATCACGTCCATCATCTAAGCTATCAGCTATGATTAATCCTTTATCGACTAGTTCATTTATAGCAGAAGAAATAATCTTAAAAATGGCATCAAATGAAGGCTGCTCAATCATCATGACAATATCAGCACGATCCAAAAATGCTAAATCAATGCTCTTAGTTAAATTACTAGTTGCTATAATCAGGACATTCGGATATCTTTTAATCTTATCCAGCTGTGTAAGGACGGAATTGACAACTCGAACGGAGTCACTTGGTTCATTATTTGATATGTTTTCACGTGCAAATGCTATTGATTCGACTTCATCGATAAGTACAATAACGAGATTCGATTCCATTTCAATGACTTCTTGGATCTGCTGAAATAACTTCATGACTAGCTTGCCCGACTCCGAAAAATACCTCGAAAATAAAGAGTGTGAATTGATCTCAAATAAATGACTGAATTGATATTTGTTGTTCATTCTGATAGATAGTTTCTGTGCTAATGCTTTAGCTAGAGACGTCTTTCCAGTTCCAGGTTTGCCATGAAGGAGAATCAAACGATTACAGGATATAATGTTTTGATCCACAGCCATTTCTGAAAATAATAAAATTGTTTTTGCAAAATTTAACAAATTTTCTTTCAGATTGTTATCGTAGACTAGAGATTCCCATAAGCCATTCAAATCAGTTTTGTTTGGTAAGATCCAGTGCCTAAAAATCAATAAAATGGGAATAAAAAAAGATCCAGTAACGAAAATTAAATGTAACTTACATTGAACTTGTTATTTGCTCATCGTGAGCTTCCATAACTTCCAATTCAGGAACAATATGCTCCGAGAACTCGTAATAGTAGAATTCAACATTGTCTCTGTCCACTTTATCAGCTATTTCATCGATTGAGACACAATTTATTGATTCTTTAAATTCATTCAGGAATGTAAATTTCTTCGACGGAATGTAAATAATTGAATGCTTAGCGAATAACTTTGATTCTAATGATGAGAATATGATGTCTTCGAGTTCCTGCTTTCGACAAAAGTCATCCCTTAGTAGCCCAACTTCAATTGATGTAATCATTATGTATTTAACACTTTAATTCACAAAATTATTAAATATATTGGAAAAAAAACAACAAAAAATTGCCGGTAATAATTTTGAATTTTAAAAAGACGTTAACAAATGTTTGTGGTGATTTGAGTGTTAAAAGATGAAAATTTGAATAGAGCTTGTTAAAATAATTAAGAACTCTGTGATTGTAAGTTTTTGGCTGTTGAGAACGTAGAAAACAGAGCTGCGAAACAGGCACCTGTGACAGGTGAGAACCCTACAATTCCTTGATAATTTATAAGGTTTTTCTAACAAAACCATACAATTTATCAAGGAATTGAAAGGTTCTCACCTGTCACAGGTGACCTGTTTCGCAACTCTGGTAGAAAATTTGATTAAATGAGCTTTAATTTATATTTTCTCATGGACTTTTGTGTACTACTTACAGCGAATTAGACGAAAAATAATCAAATTTTCCGAACACGTTACGTTTTTAAATGTTAATGAGCCGTTAGATTAATTTTATTTTTCAAAGATGTTTCATCAATCAATGCCGCTGAAAATTCTGGAAACAAAGGATTTTAAATAAGCGAATATTTTTATTTGCAACTTAAATAAATTATACTTTATTATCATAACTTAATATTTAACATTTTATACAGCAGTAAATAAAAATTTAAAAAAGCCTGATAAGTTTCCTAACTTTGACTTAGTATAATGTGTTTAAATTATTCATCAAACATCCAAAATGATTAACGAATTGAGTATCTTTAAAGCATAAACGACGAATTTGGTATCTCTTATAATTTGACTAATTTAATCGACTTCCTCAACTGTTGGACCTGAATATGCTCTCTGTCCACTTTGTGCACCACATCCACCAGCTTTTTGTGCACCAGCTCCGCCATGCATTTTAGCCATTATTGGACTACAAACTCTCTGTACATCCTTCAAATGATCTTCAAATTCTTCCTTTTCAGCAAGTGTGTTGGAATCAAGCCATGATAATTCAGATGTACACTTATCACGAACGACCTTCTTGTCATCTTCACTCAATTTGCCAGCTGGAGCATCTTCAACAGCTTGTTTACATCCAAAGATGTAACTTTCAAGTTGATTTCTTGCTTGAATTCGTTGCTGATGCTTTTCATCTTCGTCACGATATTTTTCAGCCTCAGAAAGCATTCGATCGATTTCAGCCTTTGAGAGACGTCCTTTATCATTCTTGATTGTAATTGTCTCTTGTTTTCCAGTTGAACTATCTTTGGCTGATACATTCAAGATGCCATTAGCATCAAGATCGAATGTTACTTCAATTTGTGGAATTCCTCTTGGTGCTGGTGCAATTCCAGTCAAATTAAATGTTCCTAATAAATTATTATCTTTTGTCATTGCTCGTTCTCCTTCAAATACTTGAATTGTAACTGCAGGCTGATTATCTGAATATGTTGTAAATGTTTTCTGTTGCTTGCATGGAATTCGAGCATTTCTTTCAATAAGTTTTGTCATGACTCCACCAGCTGTTTCAATTCCCAATGATAATGGTGTCACATCAACAAGTAAAACATCTTGGATTGTTGAGCTACTATCACCAGTTAGAATAGCTGCTTGAACTGCCGCTCCATATGCAACTGCTTCATCTGGATTAATTGAAAAGTTCAAGCTTTTGCCAGAGAAGAAATCTTGTAGCATTTTCTGAATCTTTGGAATTCGAGTTGATCCACCAACAAGAACAACATCATGAATTTGACTCTTGTCAAATTTTGCATCTCTTAATGCACGTTCAACTGGTTCAAGTGTTGATCTAAATAAATCCATATTCATTTCTTCAAATCTTGCTCTTGTGATCTTTGAATAGAAATCAACTCCTTCATGTAATGCATCAATTTCAATTGAAGCTTCTGTAGATGATGACAATGTTCTCTTTGCTCGTTCACATGCTGTTCTTAATCTTCTTAATGCACGAATATTCTTGCTCAAGTCTGCTTTATGTTTACGCTTAAATTCTTCAATGAAATGATTTACTAATCTATTGTCAAAGTCTTCACCACCCAAATGGGTATCACCAGCTGTTGATCTGACTTCAAATAATGAACCTTCATCAATTGTTAAGATTGAGACATCAAAAGTTCCACCACCAAGATCAAAAATTAAAACATTTCGTTCTCCTTTAAGATTCTTATCAAGACCATAAGCTAATGCTGCTGCAGTTGGTTCATTGATAATTCTCAAGACATTCAGACCGGCAATAGCACCTGCATCTTTTGTTGCTTGACGTTGTGAGTCATTGAAATAAGCTGGTACAGTTACAACTGCATCTGTGACTTTTTGTCCTAAATATGCTTCAGCAGTCTCTTTCATCTTTGTCAAGACCATTGAACTGATTTCTTCTGGTGCAAATCTCTTTTGTTCTCCTTTAAATTCAACTTGGATCTTTGGCTTTCCACAATCATTATAGACTTTAAATGGCCAATGTTTCATATCAGCTTGAATCTTTTCATCATCAAATTTACGTCCAATTAATCGTTTTGCATCAAATACTGTATTTTGTGGATTCATTGCAGCCTGATTTTTAGCTGCATCACCAATTAATCGTTCCGAGTCTGTGAATGCAACATAACTTGGTGTTGTTCTATTTCCCATCTCATTGGCTATGATCTCAACTTTTCCATGTTGAAAGACACCAACACACGAGTATGTTGTGCCAAGATCAATACCAATTGCTGTTCCTGTTTTCTGTTTTGCTGGCATTTTTATTTTATTTTTATTTTACTTTCAATTCACAAAATTTAATTTTATTCAATTTCACAATTTTTTTCACTTTTAAACTTTGAAATCTTTTTGATTCACTTTGAATTTTCTTTTACTTTTCACTCTTCTGAGCTCTTTCTTGTTCAGTTATCTTTTTTGAAATGATTGCTTTTCGCTACGTTTACGTCTGCTTTATATATGAAAACGTAGAGAAATGGAACAATCTACAGATATCGAGAAAATTCTCTGTTCAAAACCTCACACTTTCTAGAAACATTTCAGAGGTTCTGGAACATTTATATTGTAATTTTGAATGGGAACTGCTAGAAATTTCTTTAAATTATGAATAAGAAATGCTAGAAATTTCTTTAGAGCTCTTTCTCGTTATATATGAATTTTCTGGAATGATCCAAACAAATCTGCTGGCAAATTCTCGAACAAACTATAATCAATGACTTCATTCAACTCTTCTTTATTTTATTTTGTATCCCAAAAATACGCTTATTCCTCTATAAATGATATCACGATCCTTTCCATTAGATCCGAGTCTTAGGAAATTGGAAACAGTTTGATTTACATCATATGGATAAAACAATCTATTGTGCATTAATACTGGCACAACAGCAATTAACATTAAATAATAAATCGGCAGCTTGTCAATTGCTTCAATAATTTTTGGCACGTCCTTCTTCTTTTTTTCGTAACTGTTCAGCAAGGCTCCAAAGAATGTTGCAATTGCATTTGATATTGCTAATGTAAATATTTCATAGCGCGGGAAGAATGCGTACGTAAGACCACCAATAAATGAGGATATTCCGCAATTTGTTATGGAATTGAATGATGTTTTCTGATTCAGCAAGCAAAAGAGAGTCTAAAATGAGCAAAATATTCATTAAGTGAATTTAAATTGATTTGTTAATGCTAAAGTGACTAGCTTATGTGTTGTCTAGATGATACCTTAAATATTCCATCGATTCCAGCAATGAAAGTAAAAAGTTTAAAATCAAAACTCTTAAAGAACACTTTCAGAACTGTCAAGGGACTACTTGAGAGTTTCCCAAGACATGTCAAAATACATTTGATGACACAAAATCCCAATGCAAATGACGATGCGTGCTTAAGTTCCTATAAACAAAGGAGAATTGAAATTGAATAACATTTAACTGTCTACGATCATTATAATGCGCAGTACTAACCTTGATTAAGTAATTAGTACAGGTCAAGTTTGTGTGAATTCTTTGACAAGTGTTTTTTGCTTTTTCGTCTTTCGAATATGTAAATTTTGAAAACCAAAAATTTGGACATCTAGCCTTAAGCATTCCGCACATGACAAGGGCATTAAATGCTGCAAATACGACAGTTCCAGACAGAAGAGATCGTTTTAACCTTTGAACAAAGCCATTCCTTGAACTTTTTATTAAATATTCTATATAAAAGTTAAAAAGTGCAAGCGACTCAGCCTTAATAATTGGTGGAGGTAGTATAATAGAAGTTAATGATGCAACAACTGTCGGGAGCCAGATTATAAAATGATAATGATATTTCTTAAAGAACTGACTGCAATTAAAAAAATTCAGATATAAAATTTGGCATTTGACAATTAATTTAAATAAACCAGTCTGTAGTAATTTGAATGTTGTCACTAGAAACTGATGTCGGACAGATAATTTTGAATCAGATGAAACATCCCTAGTATCCAAAATCGTCCGGATGCCCATCCTTAAGAACATCAATGTTATACTTATGGATGATTATAGAGGCTGACCATCCACTTGATTTTTTCATTTTGGGATGTCCTCTATTTTACTTTCAGGTCCTCTAATTTTTCAAAAAATATCTGGTCACCCTACGATTATGATTACTAAGGATAGAAGGAATCAGGTCCAACTAAGTGGGCCATTCATATTAAGGTTTAGTTTCAACTTGTCAACTTCTTAATCCTTCCGTTCGACACTGGACAGTACAACATTCAAAACTGCACTGATCTGTAAGAAACTTACTACTCAAGACAAAGTCCACCAAAAATGGATAGACCAAAAGTCCCCGCAAACGTTAAGCATTTGGCAAGCATTTTTATAAAATCTATCCATGTCTTCAGCTCGTTCCATCTCTTGATATTGACTAGTAAGGATGTCTGTGAATATTAGGCAATAATAAATCAAATGCAGCATCCTTAACCATAAAAAAAAACATACTAAGCACACAGGAAAGTAAAATTTCATTGCTCCGATTGGCATGTCAGTCAAAATATATTTTAACAGTGACTGACTACATGATTCTCCTGGATGTACAAGATCGGTACATGAAATACCAACAAAATTATCACTAAATAATTTACTGTAACTTGGTGGCATGAAAATAAATATTTTGTAGCAAATTAAGTCACCAAGCTTGTCAGGTAGACACAACAAACTAAACTAAAGCTATATATTATTGATAGTAAACCCGTTTGATAGGTCGTAAAATTATCTATGATAATTTATGCGCCTTAAAACAAATTGCTGGAATTTAACAATGACCGTAGACATTTGTGACGTAAAAATATTTATTTTCAAATCGTATGTGGGAATTTCTCATCAAAACATGAATGAAAATATTTCATAAGTGGCCATACATCTCATTTAATGTCTACAGGTGATTCACATCATCATTTCTATTATTAGAAATAAGTAAATTATTCCTGAATATTCTAGAAAACTCGTTGAATGATTAATTTGAATTTTAAACTAGAATAAAGAAATTTCTAGCAGTTCCCATTCAAAACTACAATATAAATGTTCCAGAACCTCTGAAATGTTTCTAGAAAGTGTGAGGTTTTGTTCAGAGAATTTTCTCGATATCTGTAGATTGTTCCATTTCTCTACGTTTTCATATATAAAGCAGACGTAAACGTAGCAAAAAGCAATCATTTCAAAAAAGATAACTGAACAAGAAAGAGCTCAGAAGAGTAACAAGTAAAAGAAAATTCAAAGCGAATCAAAAAGATTTCAAAGTTTAAAAGTGAAAAAAATTGTGAAATTGAATAAAATAAAATTTTGTGAATTGAAAGTAAAATAAAAATAAAATAAAAATGCCAGCAAAACAGAAAACAGGAACAGCAATTGGTATTGATCTTGGCACAACATACTCGTGTGTTGGTGTCTTTCAACATGGAAAAGTTGAGATCATAGCCAATGAGATGGGAAATAGAACAACACCAAGTTATGTTGCATTCACAGACTCGGAACGATTAATTGGTGATGCAGCTAAAAATCAGGTTGCAATGAATCCACAAAATACAGTATTTGATGCAAAACGATTAATTGGACGTAAATTTGATGATGAAAAGATTCAAGCTGATATGAAACATTGGCCATTTAAAGTCTATAATGATTGTGGAAAGCCAAAGATCCAAGTTGAATTTAAAGGAGAACAAAAGAGATTTGCACCAGAAGAAATCAGTTCAATGGTCTTGACAAAGATGAAAGAGACTGCTGAAGCATATTTAGGACAAAAAGTCACAGATGCAGTTGTAACTGTACCAGCTTATTTCAATGACTCACAACGTCAAGCAACAAAAGATGCAGGTGCTATTGCCGGTCTGAATGTCTTGAGAATTATCAATGAACCAACTGCAGCAGCATTAGCTTATGGTCTTGATAAGAATCTTAAAGGAGAACGAAATGTTTTAATTTTTGATCTTGGTGGTGGAACTTTTGATGTCTCAATCTTAACAATTGATGAAGGTTCATTATTTGAAGTCAGATCAACAGCTGGTGATACCCATTTGGGTGGTGAAGACTTTGACAATAGATTAGTAAATCATTTCATTGAAGAATTTAAGCGTAAACATAAAGCAGACTTGAGCAAGAATATTCGTGCATTAAGAAGATTAAGAACAGCATGTGAACGAGCAAAGAGAACATTGTCATCATCTACAGAAGCTTCAATTGAAATTGATGCATTACATGAAGGAGTTGATTTCTATTCAAAGATCACAAGAGCAAGATTTGAAGAAATGAATATGGATTTATTTAGATCAACACTTGAACCAGTTGAACGTGCATTAAGAGATGCAAAATTTGACAAGAGTCAAATTCATGATGTTGTTCTTGTTGGTGGATCAACTCGAATTCCAAAGATTCAGAAAATGCTACAAGATTTCTTCTCTGGCAAAAGCTTGAACTTTTCAATTAATCCAGATGAAGCAGTTGCATATGGAGCGGCAGTTCAAGCAGCTATTCTAACTGGTGATAGTAGCTCAACAATCCAAGATGTTTTACTTGTTGATGTGACACCATTATCATTGGGAATTGAAACAGCTGGTGGAGTCATGACAAAACTTATTGAAAGAAATGCTCGAATTCCATGCAAGCAACAGAAAACATTTACAACATATTCAGATAATCAGCCTGCAGTTACAATTCAAGTATTTGAAGGAGAACGAGCAATGACAAAAGATAATAATTTATTAGGAACATTTAATTTGACTGGAATTGCACCAGCACCAAGAGGAATTCCACAAATTGAAGTCACATTTGATCTTGATGCTAATGGCATCTTGAATGTATCAGCCAAAGATAGTTCAACTGGAAAACAAGAGACAATTACAATCAAGAATGATAAAGGACGTCTATCAAAGGCTGAAATCGATCGAATGCTTTCTGAGGCTGAAAAATATCGTGACGAAGATGAAAAGCATCAGCAACGAATTCAAGCAAGAAATCAACTTGAAAGTTACATCTTTGGATGTAAACAAGCAGTTGAAGATGCTCCAGCTGGCAAATTGAGTGAAGATAACAAGAAGGTCGTTCGTGATAAGTGTACATCTGAATTATCATGGCTTGATTCCAACACACTTGCTGAAAAGGAAGAATTTGAAGATCATTTGAAGGATGTACAGCGAGTTTGTAGTCCAATAATGGCTAAAATGTATGGCGGAGCTGGTGCACAAAAAGCTGGTGGATGTGGTGCACAAAGTGGACAGAGAGCATATTCAGGTCCAACAGTTGAGGAAGTCGATTAAATAAGTCAAATTATAAGAGATACCAAATATGTCGTTTATGCTTTAAAGATACTCAATTCGTTAATCATATTGGATGTTTGATGAATAATTTTAAAATTAATATAGATATTTATTAAAGAATGATTTTTGTCATATTGCAGCTTATTGCTTCCTTAAGTTTAAGAGAGAAAAGTGATGCATTTAAGTTTAAATAGAAACTTTTAAGACTAATTTGCAACCTAGTTTCTTTGTTGATTGTTTAATGTAAATCAATAAATTTTAAGTAGAATAAAAATAATTGGTTTTGTTGGAAATGAATTGGAACTGAATTTTTAATCCTTTAATTTTAATGATTAATTTTAAATATTTCCAGAAAAACGATGAATAAATCATTTAAAATGCTGTGTGTAAACTTTAGAATTTTACCTAAGGCTAAGACACTGATAAATTAGATTTTGATCATTTTTGATAATTTTTTTGATCATTTTCGATCAGCTCTGCATACTTTGTTTTACTAGGTTTCATTTAAGCTGAACCCTCCCCTAACCCCCTTCCCTAGCCTTAAATTACAAAAAAATGTTTCGTTTTTCCGACCCTCTTTAAATTGCTAGCTACGCCCTTACGTCCTTGAACTTTAGGTAATATTGAAAACAAGAGTTCATATTTGATGTCAACTGATAAGTCTTTGATGGCTTTATTAATCTTTATAACTTAAAGCATTCAGTGTAAAAACGATAATAACTTTATTAAATTCACCAGAACAGATGTGTCCAACCTTTTTTGTGCCACGATCCACCTTGATGGTAAACTGTGATGAAAACGCATACGACATACCTTTCGTGGATTGTTCATAATTTTTTTTTGCGGCACATGGGTTGGCCATCACTGCACTTGACAGTCGCAACTTTTCATGAGATGAAAAAATTTAATTTTACAAAAAATATTGAATTTAAATTCCAATGAATTAATTTACACCAAACGAAGTGGTACAAAAAAAATCATATATTCCGCATATTGGTTTGCTTATTAATATAAAAAAATCTCTCTCTTTTTTCAGTAGCAATAAAAAAATTTCCATTCTATTTTTGATCTTGAGCGTTAATCGGGAAAAAAATCAATTCAGAATTTAATCATAAAGTTATTGCATTTCCATTTTGATGTCAGATATTGCATGTTATTTAATCTATGGATGTATATTTGCGTAGCGACAATTTATTGTGTTCGATAACCCTATCATGTTTATCTTATCAGTTCATTTTGGCTGTTCTATTATGTTGCTATCTTATTTGCATGGGTATGTACCGTTCTGGGACATGTGATTATGGATATAACCTTTTGGGTTTTATAAATTGGCTAGTTCTAAGTCAAACTACAAAAAATTAAGAAAATTAAAAAATTTACAAAGAGAACCCCCCCCCCCCCCCCCCCCTCTTGTAGCTCACACTCTAAATTCTATTTTGTTTATTCTTATGTCATAGATATTGATTTTCATTGTTTAAACATCACCCCTACCGGCACAAAAAAAAGCTGTCTGCATTAACTTTTGATTTTTATCTATCGTTTGACATTCTATTGCTCTGGAATTTTGCACGGATCTTTTTTTTCATGGCCAATATTTAGCAATAAACATTTCATAAATTTTTTTCTTTTCTTTTATGGAAAAAATTGAGAGTGAAAAGCTTCGTGAGAGGAATTTTCCATATTCTCAATTTTGTTAGCTGAGAATTCACATTTCCAATGATAAAAGCTAGAAAGAAGACAATAATGAATGTAAAGAAAACTTGTTGAGTTAATGTTTTTGACGAAAGGAAATGGAGAAAGAATATAGTCATAATGATGGATTTATGAATATGTGGAATATTTTCATTTATCATTGAAGAAATGTTTATGAATTATGAACGGATGTGTCTTCTGGTAGGACGGATTTTAAGTGAGCAGTCAGTTGAATGAAATGTAAAAGATTTGAGGAGGTTGGAATTCCAAGTTTTTAAGTTGTAAGACCAAAGGATACCAGGATTAGATTTATAGAAAAAGAAGCTAGATTACTTTTTATTCAGAACTGATACAAGGTTTTGAAGGACCAGTGTTGTCTAGACCAGTGATCAAATTTTTTTCAGCCACAACACTCTTTGGTTTTAGACTCCTTTTTTTGGATTTTTAATATTTTTCCACGGCACACCTAATGATGTTCCACAGCACACAGTTTCGACAATACTGGTCTAGACATTATGTTTTCGCAGGAATAGGCTTACGTGCAATCCAAACATTGAAATAAGTAAGTTGACTATCGTGACCTTCCCGAATCAATATTAACTTAGACTGACCATCTGCTTGGTTCTTTAGAGGACAGTCCACTTTTTTTTTCATTTTTCAAAAATAAAATACTTTTGTTTTGTTCTCATTCATCCAGAAATCGAATTAAATTGGTAGACTCGTGGGATGTCATTTATTTACTTTCAGGTCCTCAATTTTTTTCCAAAAATCTATATAAACAACCTCAAATCTTCTTGTCAAATTAAATTAACTTTAAAACAATTTTATAAGAAACCAATTAAACGTTGCCGTAGATTTAGACACAAAAAGCTTTATTCTTCTTTGTTTTACACTTCTGAATTCGACGAAATTGTAATTAAGCTACAAATCTCGCATTTAATTTCAACAAAATTCTCGAGAAAAATGTCTTGAAGTGTTTTTGTAAGCGCTAACCTTCACGACTTCTTTGAAATTTTGATATTTTAAATTAAATTGTATTATACATAGCTACTCGACGTCAACATACTTAAGAACTCAGACGTGTTGAAAGAAAAATTGAAATTCGATCAAATTTTATGAGAAACATGTTTAAGAATGATTTTGCAATGAATGTCAATGAATGTCAGAATTTTAGGAGGTTTAAAGTTAATTTCTAGAAACAAAAACTAGAATTCAAAAATTTTGGAAAATTCAGAAAATTTAAAAAAACGAGAAAAGTTTGAATTGAAATTTTCCCTACAAGCTATTTTTCCTGAATAAAATGCTTATTTTAATACGCAAATAATTTTCTAAATATTTAACAAGCTTCAGTAAAACACGCGTTCTTGTATATGCATTATTCACTCCTACATCCAATGTACTAAACATCCAACTCAAGTCATGTTAATAATTTATATCCAGCTCCACTGTTATCAATGAATTTTAATCACAAAAATACGCACAAGTAAGAACTGCCAATTCAGTATATCATGTAATCAAAAAGTATGACAACCACATCATAAGTGAACGATAACAATCAGTATATGATATATAAAATATTTATACGCAAATATTTCAGACATGCAACAGGTTGATATTGCTATAAGGAAAGAGAATTTGAATCATTTCCAGTCGTGACTCTCACGGAGAGCTTCAATCCTCAAATTCCAATGCTTCTATCAACTATAACACTCATTGTATCATCAGAAATTTCCTCAGTTCTCGTCGATCTTTCAATCTAGTATGATCAAATAGGAACAAAAAAATTATATTTTGAGTTTTGAAAAAAAAAATTAATCGGGACAATTTATTTTGTGTGTGTTGTGCTTCAAACACATTAAAGTGATTTATGAGGATAGAAAAAAAAAATTATTGATCTTGTTTGATAGATTAAAGTATTTTCGATATGAGGAACGTTGTAATTATTATGTGCTATGAATATTTATTTTCTAATGTAAACTAAAAGGTACTAAGTGAATGTGCTTTCTCATTGCGTATGGAAGTAAAATAAATTGTTGATGTGATGTAAAAAAAATTACAGCAATGAAAAAAAATTATAAATTGTGAAAAAAATTGGAGAAGTTTAAAAAAAATTATGCCAAAATAAAGGAATTAAAAATTGGAACTCATTAGCAGTTGAAAGTGTGAATAAATTCATTTATGTGAGTTTTGTTTATTTATTTAAATTTTTTGTGAATGGAAGTTTTTTTTGTGTGGAATTTTTTTGTATTGAGGTTTTGAGTGTCGGTTTTTATAAATTGACTTAGTAAATTAAAATCATTAATTGTGTCAGGTAATAATAAATTAAGATGGGTAAGGGAAGGGTTTTGATTCACTCAGATCAGTGAAAAAAATACAGAAAGATTTAAGGAAGAGGAAGGAGTGCGAATCTGCAGTTTAGAAATTATTTTTTAAAAAAATAAAAAATTTTAAAAATTCAAGAAATTTTAAGTGGAAAATTGACAACTTCCCTAAACCAAAACTAAGCATTAACAACAACATCAATCCCTAGCTACACTCCTTCAAATCAGCCGAGATATAATTTATTATTTTTGCACACCTGACAGTTGAGTGCTTTTTATGATGATGGGATTCTTATGATCTAAAATTTATTTTTTTCTATGATGAAAATTTTTGGAGATAAAATGTGTGACTAAAAGGGTTTCGGCTTACCGAAAGTGTTAACTTCTTATTATATTATTTTAATATTTTATGAGATTAAAACAAGTCAGAAAAAATGAAAAAAAAAAAAAAATTTTTGAATATCGAAAATAATTTTTGTAAAAAAAAATAAAAGACAATTTTTCTGAAATCTAAGCAATATTTTTTGAAATTTTAATTTCTTGAAAAATCACTTTTTGAAATTTAATTTTACAAAAAAAAATTTCTGTGATGGGTACATTAATTAATTTCATTCTTTTTTGTATTGCTGAATATGCAAAGTATACAGTTTTAAGCGGTGTCATCGAATTGTTGAAAATTCCTAAGTGTTATGTGACAGAACTAGTTGTTTTTTTTTTTATGTCTAGCCTATTTTATACTTTTATTTCAATCTGGGGCTAGTTTCAAGGGCTTCTGAGAGACACTACAGTTGAAAAGATTTTTGGACTTCATTTTGGAATAAGAACCAAATTTGAAGTTGACTAGGGTAGGGAACACATAGAAAATGTGAAGTTTTGACGTCATTATAGTTATTAGCTAACAAAATATGACACAGAACCATAGTAAAGCATGTAAAGTTCAGTTCTAATTCTTGAAACTGATGTAAAATGACTTTTTACTACCAAAAAAATCAAACAAGATAGCTATCGCACAAAAATCCAATTAAAGCACTTAAAATATCTAAAATCAAATTTTTAAAAATAAAGAAAATTTAATTTTTCTTCATCATGTGACTGACACTTGATGGCAATTTAAACTTTAAATGAAACAAAAAAATATAAAAAACATCTGTCCATATGGGGTGCTTAATATTTTTTATTACTTTTCGTACGAATTTTCAGCTGCGTTGAATTTTAGTTTCCAAAGATTCTCAAACTTTTCTTCTCAGCTCTTAATTTCCTTGAGCATTACAAAAACTTATTTTT